TTTACTTAAATGCCTATCAACTTTCGTTGGCTTTCAGATCACCTTTCTTGAAATATGCCAAATAAGTGGCACCACTGTTGTTTGTTTGCGTTTGTTTATTTGTTTACGTTTTGAGCTGAACAGCTGATTGTTGTTTTGTAACAATACAGGGTTGCATAACTCTATTTAAGTAACCAATTTTGATCGTTTATGGCATAGTCAGGCGGCAACGTTGAAAAGTAGGCGCAATTGTATTTCTTTTTAATTGGCAGGTACATTCGTTACAACCAAGTACATTTTGAACATAGCCAAATATCTTTTTAAGAAATCGCTTATTTTCATTTGGTTTTTCAGGCGTTGGCTATCTGCGAAACGGCCTTTCTCTAGTTTATCTGATCAAAATTATACTCTGACAGACGGCAGAAATGCGGAACGCAAGATGGTGGGTTCGAGCCTCGCGGCCAGTAGGATTTGCATTGAGTTTTTTTTTTATTCAGTCAATTATTACTTCTCTTAATTTTTTATTGTAATTATAGTGCGGACATTTTTTTAATAAAATTAAACTCCAGAAATTTAAAATAAATATTGAGTAAAAAAATATGTGCAGTGGGCCACCATTTTATCGAAGGTCGAGCTTCACAATCAAAAAAGAATTTTTTTTTTGAAATTCGAATTATTTTGGATGTTATAGCTTATAGAATTATACCAGGTGAAGTAATGAGAGCGAGAAGAAAGATTTTGACACTGCCTTATTTGAAAAATTGCTTTTAAAATTTGACTATAAGGCAGCCGAATGTCAGAAAATAAAGTGAGAAAGCTGTTTTATTACTTCACCTGTTTATTGCGCCATGGTTGTGAAGCATAAACAGATAATTGCACAAAAAAATCTCGACTTTCAAAACATTAAATTATATAAGACAAAATAAAATGAAACCAAAAAAGTTAAATAAAATATATAACAAAGTTAACTAGCAGCGATGATCGTTGGCGAGTTTGTTTTTACCGCATTAATTTCATTCACTTCGCCACCCGTGAGGTATCATGTATTAAGTTTTAGGTAAAGCTTAGTGTTTTTTGCTTATAAATAGGGCCAAAATCAAAATTGAATTCAATTAAGCTTTCATCGAGCATTTAATAGACAAATAATAAATTTTGTATGGTAAATCGAACTAGCCGAGCCGAGAGGGTTTGGCTAATTAATCGATTAATTGCCTACCTAAACTGAGTATTATATGTTATTTTCAGTTAAAATACGTTAAATTATGTCTTTAGTTATGTATTATTTGCTACATCAGATCATTTGAAGATTTTGTATTAAGGCTATACATGCTTTTGTCAAAAATAATGTCTTAAAAAATATATCCACACATACATACATACATATTATGATTATATCAATGACCCCATGTCTACTATCTTTAAGCGCACGTGTTTGATCCTTCATTCTCGAATTCTTGTTGATATTCTCGCCGTCTCTCCTCTTGTCCACATTCCGTTTCCTCAACCCGTCGCTTAAGCTCCTTTTCAAGCTCTTCTATCAAAGCATCCGCCTCTTCGCCATCGTCATATTCTCTTAGCAAAGCTGAACTGCCGCCGTTTCGTGCGCTTCCTTCATTTTTGTCAAAATCCGTCACTACATCCTCCAGCTTCTCGGCCATCATATTGCTCACACAAATCCTATATTCATCCATCACAGCAAAACACTTGGACATTTGCTGGACATTTTCATCGAGACATTGCTTGATGCGTATCGATAATTGGCCGCAGGGATTGTGCGTCATTGTGCGCAGCTGTTTGTGGGAGGCGCGGAAAATGTTTTCGAATTGCTCCTCCATTTGTTCGGGTGTGCTATGGCGGTTATGAAGCGAAACGCAAAAAAGAGGGAGAGAAGTTAAAGCGCTTAAATCAGATGGATGGCAGCTTCTTTCGATATATGCGACTTACACTTTTTGTATATCTTCAACGGCCTTCAGAACTGTGGCCTTTTTCGGAGTGGGTGTCACATATAACTTGGGCTCCTTCCTCTTGCTCGGCCATACTTGGCTGTAGAAATTTCCCATTGCCACTGGCCTATATTTGGTTAGCTGGTAGCGCCGTTAATATATTGACTTTGTTTACATACTCTTTGCTCTACTCACGGCTTGTCGAACTCTGATATTATTCTTACGCTGCCCTTTAGTTTGTAGCGAACTGAATTTATTGCCCGCTAACGACCTGGGCTGCGGGATCTACCCTCCCAAGTATGTAGTAAATTTAAAAATCTAATAAAAATGTGATTAATTGAAGGAGAAATTTAGAATTTTCTTATTTTATTCCGGTTGTTTGTCATTTTCACTTGATAGGTGTGCGACTCGAAAGTGGCAACTCATGTCTGGCAAAGCCATCTAACCAACTTGCCGCAAACCACCCGCATACAGTCAGCCTTGCCATGCTACTAATGGGCTTAAAACAAACTATGCGTCATAAGGAGGGTATTATGCACGCCAGCGTTAGCGCAAATTTGTTTGCAAAAGCAATGGCACATACATACATAAGTATATAGTAATATTGGTGGGCTGTCACCCAATATGTGTGCTCCTATATTTGCATTTGTGCGCGTCGCCAAAGGTGTTCAAATATTTAATTTTACCTGTTTTCATCGTAGTATGGCAGCAAATTTGAATATCGCCTAATTGTGCACATTTCGGCAGCCATAATGAGCAAATAAGCCAGCCCTTCGTTTCCGGCAGCCCTGCGGTATGGCTGTTGATATATTTACACACATATTACGTATAGCGCACTTCTCCCCTTGCAGCTTCGGTATTTTCTGCTAAAATACTTATTTGCAAACCCCTCAGCTACTCGAACTGTTCATAAATTATACTTTTTTGAATTAAATTCTATTCAAAGCGTTCAGTTGGTTATCCTAACTTAATTTTTCGGGTCGCCGCACACGCCGCACAGTGTCGCGTATCCATATATAGAGTGGACATAAAAAAAGTAGGTGCGCCTGGGCCACACTGGAGAAGTGAAACTTACGTTACATATCTCTTTGTCTCATAACCAATATACATACATACATACATCTGCTTTTGCTTAAGGTTATATTTTTTGTCTTTTTCTATCTAGATCCCTACCTCTACCCTGTTTGTTCTACATAATTACATTAATGTCATTCTGTTCTGCCGATAAAAAAACCGATAAAAATGTCGATAACAAAATCAATAACAAATTCCATAAAAATTCCGATAGAAAAATCGATAACAATATTGGTAGCAAAATCGATAACAAAATCGATAAAAATATCGATAACAAATTCAATATAAATATCGATAAAAAAATCGATAACCAAGATCGCTTAAGAAATCGACAGAAATATAAATAAGAATATCGATAACAAAATTGATAAAAATATCTATAAAAAAATCGATAAAAATCGATAATAATCGGTGACAAAATCGATAAATAATCGATTAAAAAATCGATAAGTAATCGATAACAAAATCGATAAATAATCTTTAATAAATTAATTGAATTTGCCAATTTACTCCAAACCAACCAACCGCCGCTAAAGAAGTTTCACTTCAAAAATAATATCTAAACGTGGTTGGATTTTAGCCAAACTTGGTTTGCTGCAAGGACATTAAAGATTTGTGTCTCTTTTATTACCATTCTATATGCACTTAACATTCACAAGTCGATAAAAATATTTATTAATAAAAGAAGGAAGTTTTTTCGACATATTTCTTACCATTCGGGTGATTGTCCTTCCTTGTAGTCTTGAACCATGTATTAACTTTTCTTAGGTAGTATTAATTAGTGAATTAACGTATTTAATACACATAAACTAATCATTTAAAATTTTAGACTTTCGTTTTTTGGTATTTTTTCACTACTCGCGACACTGTGCGCCATCGGTTAGGCAGGAAGTACTCGTATCCAAAAAAGCGGTGTCATCGATATTTACAAGCTGCAATGACACTTTGTTTTTGTATCGATTTTGTAATGAAAATATGTATGCATTAAGCAAAAACAAAGCTGTGACAGGGAATAAATAATGCGCAGTGCTTCGGATCGTTAAATGACATCCATTTATTTTAGCTAGAAACAAGTCTATATTAACTTAAAGACACTAGACGTATTTGTGAGCTCTCTTCATAATGTCTTGAAATGTGTTTTTTCCCCAGAAAGAACTTATTCTTTAAGAAGTCATTTTTGAAATGTCATCAATTTTGCTTGAAAACTTCTTTTTGCGTTGTATTTTGTAAGTAGGACACGTCCATCCCCTTCCTCGCTCGTTAGCTTCGTTGTCTAAAGTCATGCTGACAGACGATTAAACACCAGCTTACGAGTCTGCCGCCAGCCATTCTCCCCTCCCTTCCCACTGCTAATGCGAAAGCTTTTCAGCTTAATTTCCGCACATGAATGGTTCAAAGGATAATTAAGACATGATTACAAGCAAAAACCGTTAAGATTCATTCGGGCGTTTTGATGCCTGTTGTATGCTTAAGTACATGTATGCGTATGCATGTAAGAGGTCTTAATCCATAAAAATCGATTAGCGTGGGCTGCTATGAATGGCTGTGGTTTCACTTGCGAGCGTCAGCAAATATTCCACTCCATTTGTGGAGGTATGACCATCGTAATACTTAGAATGGAAGCGGCTTTATACATATTTGCCTGAAAAAAACAAAATTACAGTTAGGTTTTTATCTAGCTCGAAAGAAAGGAGAAAATCTCTAAAGAGATTTGTTAAGCAGAACAATTTAACTGCTTCACATATATCTTCAATATAGGGCCGATTGAATTGTATGCGCAGGTTTTCTTATATCAGTGAGATACACACTATTACTAATCAATAATACCGGTACCGTCCAGAGCAACAACTAATTTAACCTGTTAAATAATAAGTGGTTGAATATCATTTTCTTCCGTTATGCAGATTAAAATGCCTCCCTGGTATTCTTATGGAGAATTTTTGGTCTAAACAAAATAGATGGGTAGTATCACCAATCAATTTTTCGTAAACTATTCGACAGAGTTTGTACTAGGCCTATAGGCACGCCTACTTTTCATTTGTATAGTTTTAAAAATCTATAGCACCCGGATTTGTATGCTAATAAATAAGCTCGAAAACATGTTCTATCATAACTATAACCAAAACGTGCATATAAATAGGTAAATAATTTTCTTATATTTATGATGGTGAATATTTTTAGGCATATTTTTTAGAATAGAAATCCGAGCTCTCTAAATGGCAATTTTAAGTAAAAAGCTGCCGCACGTTTTTTAGCGCACAAACTGAAATACGTTTCAACACCTACTTCAGAAGCTCCCATCTCTTTTTAAGTACATGTAGTGGACAATATTCCCCTATAACAGTTTCTTTTAGTAGTCTTGAAAATGATTTTCTATAATTTAACTGTTTAAAACTCCCTTGTCGACGTCTCGCAACAAATGTCTCTTTCACTGTTAAGCATTAAAATTTTAATATTACATTACCCTTGACCTGAAAACCCGAGAAACAGCAGAAGAGCGAAAGCAAAAAGTGCAAAAATGCGTCCCTTGTTAGCGATCACAATGCTGCCAGTGCTGCCTTTCAGCCATCAATGGGCAACCGTCCAGCAGAATAATCGGAGCATGTGGAGCAAGCGGAGCAACTGAGGTGTGTGTCACGGCAACGCTACAGGCAATTAATGCAATTATCGCTGCCACCGCTGTGGTTACCATGGTAGGTCCATTTATATGTATATAAATGCACAACAAAGAAACAAAACAAATTAACAAACAGTCAAGAAAATGGAGTTAAATGTGGGTCATATTCAATTTTTCCAAGAATGCAAAAGAAAAGAAGAGCCGGTAAGTGTTGCCATGGTTTTCTCCTGAGGGTTTATGAGTGAATAAGTTTGTGTGTGTTTGAGTGTGCACGTACTACCCTGTAAAGAAATTAGTCCTGAATTAGTCTGCATGGCAATAATTGGGCATTAATAAGCTGCAAAAAATCAAATGCGGATATAACTGGAGGCTTATCCTGTACGGATGAAATTTGAGATCAACTAGTTCTCGACTCATGTGAATGAATAATCTCTTCGTAGAACATGTCCGCAAAAAAGGAACAGTTCATTCAATATGAGCATATGATCCCGGAGTCGAGCTCATATTTTAACTTAGTGGCAGCAAAATAACGGAAAGGGAAACAGGAAGGAAAAACGCTGATGCAAATACTCGTAGGTAGGTTTGTATAGTGGAAATGTATACACACGGTGCTAGGTAGAATAACGGTGTAACCATTGTTCTGCTACAACATAATATACTCTTATTTTAATAATAATAGTATGCCTTCCATATATTGAAGTTGCCAATTTGTGCGCTTAATTACGGCTTTCAAAGGCAGCAGTGCAAACCATTGTTGCTGTTTGTTGTTATCGTCGGCCGTTCCTCAGTGCAGTTATAATTTCTTGCCCATAAATTGAATACGGAACCTGCATTTAAGCAAAAGCAATATGCATTGGCGCTTGTTAGGGATGCGGTGATGGAGGGACGATGATGATGATGATGCTGGGTCAGTCAGCCTCAATTATGGCCGACCACATGCCATGATTATAAGATGAACTGATAAATGGTTTAAATTGCAGGGCGTTGGCCCTGTTAACTGATTGTGAAGCTCAAAATGTCCTTTAGCTGTTGTATGGTTAAGTAGCTGTCAGCTGCAATGAAAACGCATGGCTACATTTGTATTTACATACATAGTATGTCGAACTTGCTGAGGCAGTTATGTGCGACGCACTACATATGTACATTAGGGTGTCTCTGAAATTTTTTTTCGCGAAACTCTATACCTTCTAAATTTTTTTACACTTTTGACCTAAACAACATATACTTATAGTTTTATTTCCATCCAGGCCGACCTGTAGTTGAAGATTTGGTTACGAGGACTTCTTATTTCACAAGAGCAATATGCTTTGTGGATCGCACTCATCGAAATAATATCTTTCCAAATCTTAAGAAGAATCTTATCAAAGATAATGAACCAAAGAAGTAAGTCTCGCTTTCCTAAAATGAAAGCTTAACTATGCTTCGG